CCCTTTGTGACACGGTGGGCATCGCCGATGGGATGGAACAGGGCCCTTTGTGACACGGGATGATATAAGCACTGGTGTTGACGTGGCCACCCCTCAGTGCTCCTCGGAGCGTGCGACGGGACAGACGGGACAGAGCGGTGCTGTGCGGAGCCCCCGCACAGACAACTCGTTCCTTGCCGACCCGAAGCGTTTTTGAAGTGCGAGTGTCCTCGAGGCCAGACCGTGGGATTGGTGACCCGAAGCTCTTGTGAGGTGTCTCCAGTCCCTGCGGCAGGTGCCCTCGAGGCCGTGCTCTGGGGCTTCGTGCCCCGGAGCTTTTCGCTGGCGTCTCCATTCCCTGCAGCAGGTGCCCTCGAGGCCCGACTGTAGGATGGCCGGGAGACGCTTCAGCCTGGCCAGGCTGCTCAGGAGGAAACAAAAGAAGGAAGGCCCTGGGCCTGTCCCAGCAGAGCAGCCTGAGGAGATGGAGCAGTCCCAGCCCCTGCAGGAAGGTGAGTGGCAAAGCTGGGTCACAGGGCTGGTGGCTGCAGCCAGATGGGCCTCATCCCATCCCATCCCATCCCATCCCATCCCATCCCATCCCATCCCATCCCATCCCATCCCATCCCATCCCATCCCATTTCCTCTGGACATGCCCAGGGAATAGGAGGGGGGAAGAGGGCCCATGGCTGATCCCCCGGCAGCTCCATGCACTGGGCATCCCGGGGCTGGCCCTGCCTGTGGAGTGCAGGGCTGGGCTGTGTTCTCCGGGCTGTCCTGCAGCCCCTCAGCTCTGACTGTGCTCTCTCTTTGCCAGATCCAGGCCAGGACCGGACACAACAGCAGGGCCGTGCCCTTGGCCGCTTCCGCAGGGCAATACAGGTACCTGCAGTGTGTCACAGGGCCCTTTGTGACACAGTGGGCATCACCAATGGGATGTACTGGGGCAGGGTGTCACAGGGCTCTTTGTGACATGTGATGCCATCGCCCCCTGCTCTGCCTGGCACTGCTGACGGAGCTCTCCATGGCACATCCCTCTCTACCCTGCCCTTTGTTCTCCTGCAGGCCTTTCTGACATCCTGGAGGCGTAGGGGGGCCAGGATCACACCAGCTGTGGTCGTGGCACAGCCGGACCCCATGCCGAGTGAGCTCAAACCAGAGCCAGATGTCGGCATCGTGTCGACTGATGGCAGAGCCAACGGTGACAGCGCGGTGACCGATGAGGTGACAAACTCCAGCACCGCGCTGCCTGAGCTCACCACAGAGGCTGAGGGTGCAACGGCTGAGGACAACGCAGACACTGACAGCATACCCACTGAGTGCCT